CCCCAAAACCCCAAAACCCCAAAACCCCAAAACCCCTTTTGAAATACCAGAATTGAACAGACCGGACTTATTTAACTTTTAAGTTAATCCTCTCCCTTAAGGATAGAGGAGCTTGCGTACATTCACTGTATTGTTTGATAGTGTACGAACCACTAATCAAGCACCCAGGAAGTCGGGTATTACACAACCCAGGTTACTTCTGCGCCTCCTAGGAAGAACAGAGTCTGAAGGGATCGTTTGAGGACTTGAAGTTTGCTCGATACTAGTGATATTGTCAAACTTTAGGTACTCAACATTTCGGAAGTGATATCCCTCATCTCCTGTAAGAATCAGATGTGTAGCTTTGAATGAAGATGTCCCTTCGAAACTAATCTTGAAGGTCACTTTGCGATCGGAATAGCAAAGCATTACTTCGAGAAAGTTCTTCACTTTGAAAATGAACTCACGGAAGAAACCTCTAGTAGAGCATATATTCCTAGAGTATCACTCATCAACCGAGCCAAATATGTGAGTTCCAAAGAAGTTAAAGCAAAGATCCTTGAAGTCAGGATGATCCTGCTTAAAATTGGCAAGTTTCCTTCCTTCTAATACTTTAAACACTTCTTCCAGTCCGGAAATGAATCGGCAACTTATATCTGTACTACAGCTGATAAAGATGCCTCTCAGCTTAGATGCAAATGTCTCTCCCATCCCGAAAAAGAGTTTGCTAAAGAATTCTTCGACTTCTTTACCCTCTCTGCTGTCTTTAGTGAGGTTAATGCATAACTTTTGGCAGTGGTCAAACACCAGAGGGTTTTGTCACATTTCATCTATTAGATCAGGCAGTTTAAATCCACGCATCGGTACAAGATCAACTCTCTTGAAGCTACACATGAGGTTACCGACTCTAGATCTGTAATCCTCTCTATTGGACAGTTGAATTTTGAGCTTGTAAAAGATAGATCTCTTATGAGCTCAATTTTTCATAGTTCGAAGATTATGAAGATGATGATGAATAGGCTTTGCTGATTTAGCAACATTAAATTCTCCAAGTATTCTTCCAAAATTTCTTCTAGCTAGACAAATAATCCTATTGAAAGGATACTCGAACAACTCTGGTTTGATCTTCTTCATATACTTCATTAATGGAGTTGATGCATAATTTATTCTTAAGCTATTGATGTTAAGGAATGGGACTCTTATTCTCTGGGCCTTATGTGTATTTTCAGAAACATATCAGGACTTTTTGGAGTTTTCAGAATTATCTCCAAAATTCCTATTTTTCAGATCCAAGTAATTAAACTTGTTTTGGAGATACCAGGGCTTACCCTCTGGTATTTTCTCAGATTGCTTAAAACTTTCCTGATCTTTTTCTCGATAATTCTCTCTGATATTATTGAACCACTTGTTGTTATACCAATTTTCGTGATACCACGTATCATCATATTTATTATCAATACTCTGAAAGTATGGAATTTCATCTGAATGATACTTATCTTCATCAAGCAACTCAAAGAGCTGCTCTGGGTTCCTTGAAGCATAATCATAATAAATATCATCATCCTCGTCATAGTAATCATTATAGTGTCTGTACTGTTCCTGGTTTGGCTTTTTAGTATAAAATTGTTGATAAAACTGCTCTTGTTCTATTGATTCAAATTCGATGAAATCCTTCTGAGTTTCCTCAGTATCCTGCTTCTCTTTTTCACCTAAATATACAGGTGGAAGAGGTATATCGGCGATACTTTCTCTGTAAGGATTGTAATCGGTTTCATCAGATTTATATAAATCATAAATGTGTTTCTTGTTGTAATACCTTTCTGAAGGCGGTAGCTCTGAAAATTCCTTCTCTTTCATACTAATAAAGTCAAGTTTTCCACCATTTTCAAGATGGAGACAGTATTTTCAGAATTGAAGGAAGTCCTCAAGGCTTTGCTCGTCACAGAGCTCGATATCAAGCTTATAATATTTCAGATTGTCTAAAGCCAAGACATATAAAGAAGCGCTTGAGATAATATCTCTTACTTTGATCAGCTTTTTCTCACAAAAGCGTAGAAACATGGTCTCAAAGAAGTTGCTTCTAGTTATCTTCTGCTGATCATCTAAGTCTTTTCCTGACTCTCCAAAATAAACCTTTTGGAGGTTTAGCACCTTAAGTAGGTGACAAACTTCATTTGCATATCCGTAATACTTCATTATGTGAATAAAGTTGTATGGGAGGAGGATTTTGTTCATGATTTAGATTAATTTTTATTAACTCTTCCACTCTAAACTCAAAAATTAGCCAATTATATGGGGTTTTGGGGTTTTGGGGTTTTGGGGTTTTGGGG